AAATATACACATATTGTATAATTAAACAAGAATAATTAATAATAAAAATATATTTACTTACATTTAAAATCAAATAATTATGAGACAATTATATACACAGTAAAACGTACAAGTTATACTAATACGACAGATAATATGTAACAGTAGAAATAATATAATAAATTATACCAAAAACACGTATTTAATAATACCATGTATTATATGAAATAATTTGTAATAATATTAATAATACAATATATTATTTAAAATATTACGTAATAGTACCGATAACACAACAAATTAATTCTAGAAATTTTTACCGCACAAAATAAATTTATAAATACCAAAATTATTTAAGTAATATATAATCATATTTTTAAATCATTGAAAATTGTAGAAAGTCGAGAAAAATACAAATACTCATTTAAAAATCATAATTAAATATTTTAAAATACCAAAAAATTATTTTAACTAGTATCAAAATTTCATGGTCCTTACAGATTTTGGGGAGTCAAAATCCGGCGGACATGTTGACGAAGGCAGTCACCATTGAGAAACTGGAGTTGTGCGTAACTTCAGTTGGCCTTCACGAGTAGAAGACGAAGGCGGAGCCACACTACAAGGATCGGCGAGATCGCAAGGATGTTAATGATTGAAGAATGGATTTTTCAAGTAGGAGAAGATGCTTGCGAGAAGGCGGAGTTCGGGTGTTAATGATTGAAGAATGGATTTTTCAAGTAGGAGAAGATGCTTGCGAGAAGGCGGAGTTCGGGAGAGATCATTGATGGTGGTTTGATCTCCAAGTGGGAGATTGTTGGTCTTGAGAGTGGAGACCCAAACCTAGAATCAAAATCAACAATCGTATGAAAATTCAAGACAGGCCATAGGTGTGGTCTGCACCATACTAGGGTGTGGTAGAATCTGCCCTGTCTGCCATGGGTGTGGTCTGCGTCACACCAGGGTGTGGCAGAATCTGCTATGTCTACCATGGGTGTGGTCTGCGCCACACCAGGGTGTGGCAGACTCGTTTTAGAATCCTAAACTGTTTGGGATTGTGTTTTGTTATAAATAGAAACACGTCCCTTTAGGGTTTAAGAGAGAAAAAGAGCATAAAAAAAAAGGGTTTTGAGGGCTCTTTGAGATTAGAAATCTTAGAGAAAGAGAGGCCAATTGCAAGCATTGTATTCTTCTTCAAGTAATCAAAGAATTGTGTGGTGTGGCTCTCGAGGACGTAGGCACGTTGCCGAACCTCGTTAAATCTGGTGTGTTCTTTCTTGTTTACTTTCCTACAAGTTTTTATCTTTGATTTGTGGTGAATTTCTTTCTTGCTCAACTCTCAAACACAAGATCCGGAAGGGTACGGATTTGATTTGATTATTTCGAATCCCCAACACATCTGTCATGCCATAAGATTTCAGTTTGGATCTGGTGGGGAGTTTGTCCAAGCAGGATAGCTAAAAAAGGAATGCATGCTTTGGAATAGTGTAACCACTCCAAACAAAGACTAGACCATGTTATTCTATCACCAGTATTACTCAAGAGATTATATGCGCTGAAGGGAGGGTTCTTAGGATTCCATTGAATTCAAGCAGCATTGAGGGTGATACACTTTAGAGCATCCTCTCGGAGCTTCAAGATTTTTTTGAATTGCCATGAAAAATGTTGCTTTACTTCAAGATTCCATAAATCAGCTGCTTGATGTAAAATCCATGGATCTATTTTACCAACCCACAAAGATTCATGGCTTACAATAATAGCCCAAATATGCTTAAGCATCAATGCTTTATTAAAAGTTTCCATACTCTGAAGATCTAATCCTCCACACTTCTTGAGTTTGCACACTGATGACCAAGCAACCTTTGCTTTGTGGTATGAATGAATATCACCAGTCCATAGATAATTTCTACATATCTACTCAATAGCTTCGATGATTTTCTTAGGCAGAATGAAAACACTCCCCAATAGTTTTGCATGCTATAGATAACTTATTTATCAATTGTAATCTCCCAGCAAATGACAAGAGCTTAGAAGTCCAGCAAGTAACTCTTCTAGTTATTTTTTCAATGAGCATACGAGCTGCAGAAAGAGACTTAGACTTTAGGGGTTTGCCTAAGTATTATACTGGGAGGGAGCCCTCTACAAGCCGTAGAGTCTACAATATATCATGTTGAACATTATGTTGAACCCCACCAAAACGAACTTAACTTTTGGCTGCATTGGCATGTAATCGGTTATGGTGTTTCCAATCACCAAAGTGCAACTCTTTGCCAGCAACGAACATGTGTACTTCGGTATGCAATGCCCCAATCAAATTGGCGGCCCAAGACTAACAAGGATTCCGACTGAGTCGACTCGTCGAGTCGACATTCCTTCATGTCGACTCGATGGCGAAACTTGTCGGCCCTCTTGTTGAAGACGACTCGCTACGAGCCTACTCGACTTGTTATTCGACGCCTCACGAAGATGACTCGAAAGGTGTTACTTCTTGGCGAAGCTAAAGGACGACTTCAGCCTCAAGCCTCTCCCACAGACACAACGTTGACGTCACATTTAATGCTTGGTAGGCGCCATCATACCTCTAGCCCCGATAGCCTTCAAGACTCATCGGACCACGTCGGCACTGTTATGCCTCAGATTATCAAACAGTTCTGTGAACAATCGGTAATTACATACAATACCCCAAAATTTTAAAAATTATATACTTCCAAAATTTTAAAGTTGCAAAAAACACCGCAAAATGCAAAAACTTAAAAAACACTTTGAAAATCTAAAATATTTGATTACCCCTTTGAACAATTTGAAACTACCACTGAACATTAAAATTTTATAAACAACCTCTGAAAGTCTTAAACATCCAAAAATTACTGTCGCCAAACAGCTTTTCTATGAAAGACTTTATCAAATATTTCCAACTAAAAAACTTATTTTTATCAAATACTTCCGAACAATCTGAATAATGTTGGAATGTTATCAACTATTGAATTATGCTTGTTTAACAAATTCTCTATAAAAGATTTGGGTGATTTTGAACATACCCCTAAATAACTAGAGATAATAGGCATCACCCTAAAGTTTAAAAACTACAAATAATCCCTTTGAAAAATCTAAAAATTATAAAAACACCTTTAAGATTAGAATTTTTGAACAGTTTTGTGAGAAATTTCTTATCACATATAGCACCCCAAAATTTTCAAAACTACAAACGGAGTTTCAAAAAGCTTAAGTTGCAGAAAACACCGCGAAAAAAGTGAAAATAAAAAACACTTTGAAAATCTAAAATTTTCTATCAGAGCTCTTAACAATCTAAAACTACAGACAACCTCTAAATATTTAAAAATTACAAACAACCTTTGAAAAATCTTTAAAATACAAAAAAATACCAAATTTTGAAAATTACTAAAAACACTCCAAAGATCTAAAAAAAATTATTTGCAATGTGCACAATCTGAAAAAAGCCCCTTAAAAAGTTTGAAGATTAGGAAAACCCCCATGAAAATATTAAAAATCATAAACGATCTTCTAAAAATAATAATGATTACAAACACTCAAAAAATTAAAAATTGCAAAGAAGCTCCTAGAAAAACAAAAATTTTTTCCAAACCATCACATTAAAATCTGAAAGTACAAAAATGATTTTAGAGTTGAAAATTCTATAATTGAAATTCTAGGGATTCCTAAACAATGGATTGAAATTAATTATAAAGTTTCAAATTCTAACAATTCCTTGGATCCAAACACAAATTTAATATAATTTCAAAAAGACACATGACATTTGAAGAAATTTGAACAAGACCCCTTTAAACTTCAGTCTTTGAAAAATAGGATGACAAATGCTACGAGATTCTAAGGGGAGTGTATTTTTAGGATGAAGATTATAGATTCTCATGGAATTACTCTCAATGCATAGACTGTGTGTGCACGTGCTTTCCTTCGATACTACTTTGTATTTGACCTGTAGAATTTTTGCTACAAGGAAATAGTATCTCACAAAGTTTAAAAACTTTCCTAGAGAAGTCAGGGCTTTGATATCTTATGTTTTCTAGGGTAGATGTCACTTTTCCTGAATAGTACTGTTGTCATTTAGCATAAAAGAGTGTAATACAACAGTTTTGCTGGAAGTTAGTTTTTGTTTAAAAGTGTTACATATATTGAAAATCATATTATTAGTAATGAGCAAAAATGTCGATGTATAGTTTTTATAGTTTTTACACTGATGTTTTGCAACTAATCTTCTTTCTTGGTCTCATGTGAATTTTATCAAGTATGAATTTAATATAGATTTCTCATCGCAGTAGCTGTTATGCATTTGTTGTATAGCATAAAAGTTATTTGATATATTTGTTAGACCAAAATTCTAAAATTATAAGTTGGAAGTTTTGATGTCTATTAGATCAAAGTTCTAAAATTTGTAAGGTGTAACTAAATTTAACACATTATCTAGATTTGATACTAATTAGTCTTATCATCAGTAGAGGTGTAAAATCGTGATCATATTTCGTGCGATAAATTATAGAGGAACCATGAAGTATTTCACAAACCAGTTATATTAAAGAAATAAATCTATTTCTAAAAAAAATAAAGACAAAGACCCAAATTAAATAATCAAATTATTTGACCATGTGTAGCGCACGTGCATCTCACTTTTACAGTAAAATATGTGAATCTATAAACAAAAATTTGGATATATGTATGGTTCTTATGTATTATGGAACAATCATTAGTCAAAATGGCATGACTTCCACATGTCGATCCCAGAATCAGGCAAGTGAATGCTAATTACTAATAATTCCTTCGGGCTATAGGATAAGTCTTGTAGACATTATCGGGTATTCATTTGTCAAAATGGCTTGTCAATATGGATACTCTAATGCAACCTCAATTTCTTCGGTGTTGGCACTGTACGGTGTTCACACAGTCCTCTGTAATGCATGCCAATTAACGTCGTTATCCTGGAAATTGCTCGACAGATTTGCAGCTCAATTTACTTGTCACATACATTTGACCACCTTTTGGTCTATCCATGCAAAAACAGGCTTTATATTAGGAGTATCGATGAAAACTCTCTCTTACAATCAATAAATTTACTGAAGCATTACAGATGGTGTACGAGTAGTTCATTTTAGTTAGCACTTGCATGCAAAATGCCAAAAAAAGAGGGCAACCGAAATGGCTCGTTGATCTCCAAATCTATCAGAGATACGCCCTTAGTCTCGTTAGCTTATCTGGTGAAATCAATTATGTCAATCTCCACCAAAATCAGATCCTTCACATTTACCTTGTTTTATTAGGGCATCCATTGACAAAATCATACAGCCGTAACTCATTATCCTTTTTCCACGTCGGAAATGCCTTTGACACAAATATCAATATCTTCTTGTACTTCTACTATTTGGAAAGGCATGTTGCCCTTTATCATGTCTCCTTCAAAGCGGAGGGTTAGTAATGTTCCCTTAACCAATAATGTGAACACCATGCTCATTTATTTCTTCCAATTTGTTGAACTAAACCGGATTTTTTGTTAAGCGGCCATCAATAGAACATGCTCATCCATGTAAGCACTGAGTTCACAAGCTTGTTGATGCCTTGATGCTTCTGAACTACAACTACTCGTTATGCTAGCATCATCTTTGAGTTTTTTACATACTCATCCAAAATATACTCATTATGGTAGAGGGAAGAAAGCGCCTATATTGTGATAGCGGCAATCGATATCATAAACCTCTTCAGAATGATCCAAAACTGTAGTGTCATTTCTGCCAATGTGCTGCTCATGTGCACTGAACACGACATAAATCTATCCATTGTTCTGTAACCCCTCTATGTACCTGTAACGGGGAAAAAATACAACTTTCAGATGTAAGCACAATGTAGAGTAGACCTCCTTAAAAAAGCACTAATACAGATACAGAACGTACAAATTTAAACCCATTTACATGTATAATTTCCAGTCCTGGAGAACCAGGCATTGGCACTCATTGCAGAATGTATAATTATACAAAAGATCTCTGAAGTTGTCATGTAAAACCACAGAACATGACAAATTAACGAATACGTTTTTACCAGCGAGTTAAGGAAAAGAAGAAAACAACAAGAACATCGAAGTTATCCATGAAATACAGAGTCAATGGAAGCATATACTACGAAGAAGTTAGCAAGGACATACTTCCATGGACATAAAGATCATGTAGTTCTGTACTCCAATATGTTGTATCAACTTATTCAATCTACTGTTGAAAATAGTATCTAACAAATTAGCGCATTCTTTGACACAAGTAACTATTAAAAGAAGATTATACAGCGAAACTATTTGCTGCCAGAAAACTCATGAACATGATATATTGTAAAAAGGATGCCGGAAGCAGAGGAATCTTAGTATGCTAAATAATTTAGTTTGGCAGATACATGGATGAGCGAGACCTTTTTGTATAAGTTTTGCTAAAAGACAAAGCTATCATGTGGTTCCTTACCATTATCATAACCCCATCAAATGGGCACAGTTCTGAAGCACGACTCCATTTAGTTAAGGCTCATAGCTCCACTTGAAGTTAATAACACAGCTGGCAATCTTATAGTATCTCTGAAGTGCGAGACTGATTTCCTTCGCCAAGGAAAAATAAAAGAAGAGAGGAGGCTCATGATAGACCTGGTAGGCCAATAAGAACGAAAGGAAAACACACTTCATCAGTCAGTAATTACTAAAATGACACCACCAAGCAATTTTCCAAACAACATTGTCAATTAAGTCGTGAAAAATTGAGAGAAAGAGGACAAATTTGCTACAACAAATTGTATGCATATCTGAACCCGAGGATTAACCCAAAATGAGTATAAGCATTTACTTAATAACTTCATAAAGACATCTCCAAATTAAAAACTTTTATGTACCTTTGCAACTTCATAAGATTTTATCACGGTATATATTTGCCTTAAATTCTCAAGGGATTACAATTGAGATCTTCTGATGGAACACCTGGATGAGAGATCAAGTCAACATTGTAGACCACATCAACAGAAATCCAATATGACTATGAGAAAAGTATGTGCATACCTCTTCAAAATGTTGCAATTCTAGTCTTAGTTCTTCACCAGTTGCTGATGACCGTTGAACACCACAAGGATCTGCACACTGTTCCTTGATTTCTCCAAGTACCTGAGAGAAACAAATAATGAAAATTAGAGATATAAGAATTTTTGAGCCATAAAATTTAGAAATAAGCTCACAGAAAAACATGTACACATGACACAACATACAAGTTTAAAGCCCTGAGGAGTATGCACTACTTCCACTCCTTGAGAAGTCCTGTGTTGGCATCTTTGGATAGTAAGAGAAAGGCGTATAATGGAACAAAGAACTCTGAACTTGTCCTTCATCTAGCAATAAGATGACAAAAGAAATCAGTTCCATCCTTACTGTGCAGTGGTTATGAGAATGAAAGAAAACGAACAAGATGCGAAGCAGAACAGAAATGGCCATTGGAAAATATAATGTGAATAATTTAGCATTGGTTAGTGCTGTGGTGATTCTGATACAGCTATTTCACCTATCCCAGATACTAATGCTTACAAATTGATTGACTCTGACCATATCACAATTACTACCTACTCTACAACGCCAATGGGTTTCTAATAAGATAAGGAAACAAATATGAAGGCTTTTAAAGATCAAAGATGCAGTGATACCTCCAATGGCAATTTCTGAATGGAAGCATTCTCGGATTTTGGAAACTTTTTCCTATGGAATCTCACAAGTTGCGCAATAAGCTGCAAATTTAAAGGAAATCATCAGAAAGTGTAAAATTTTGACAATGCATACAAACGCAAGAAGCCATGTCAGAAGATAATTACCTCAACCTCTTCAGAACTATAACCCTCAAGATGTCCACCATGCTGTAAACAATTATGAAATAATCAGCAAAACAGAATTTAGCTAAAATTATAAAACTATGTGGTAAAACTTTACTTATCATCACATCGAATACCTTGATTATCTGATAGGACAATTTGTCATAGCCCTTTTTCCCATTTACCCTCCCAATATTATGAAGCAAAATTGAAGCTTCAAGATATTCATAGTCTTTATCCTCCAAAAACACCAATGATCTAGTTTGATCCTCACCCATTACACCGCAGCCCCTGATTCCATCAAAAATGTCCTGTTACAAGACATCATCCTCATTACATTCATATCCAAAAGATCAAATCTTTATCACCAACGCAAGATCAAAATGATACCTTTGCTATGCCAACACATTGGACAGCCACTTTCATCCAATTCCTGCAATCAAATCTCACAGCAAGCCTCACAACTGAGCTCCACCTCTCATTCAAATCCAAACCAACTTCCACATCTGAGCGGCTCTTCTCCTTCATCATCATCTCCGCAACCACTCCCTCACCCAACGCATACCCCGACACGTCCATCTCCTCAATCCCGAGCGCATCAAATATCTCCCTCAACGCAATAAACTCCGACTTCCTCTTCGAGAACCCCAATCTCCGCACCCCTTCAAACCCCAGCATCTCGAAACTCCTACAAATCCTCTCCTCAAGGCTCCTCAGCTCCTCCCTACCAAACCTCCACTTCCTCCTGAAATCCAACCCCGAAATCGCCTTCTCGATCGACTTCACGGTCCCCGACGAACCGACGGCAATCTCAAACCCTAACTGCCTAACCTTCTCAGCCAACCCCGATTCTTGTAGCGCCGTCCTCACGTGGCTTCGGAGGTCGGCGAAGCGCCCGGCGAAGGACTCGGTGAGAGTGACGTGGCCGAGGTTGAGAGATGCCGAGAACAAGATCTGACCTTGAAACCTTAACACGAACTCGGTGGATCCGCCGCCGATGTCGACAGCGAGGACGCGGCAGTGAAGGACGGGGAGGAAGTGGAGGATGCCGAGGTAGACGAGGCGGGCCTCGTCGGCACCGGAGAGGACTTCAATGTTGAGGTTGAGGTGAGGCCGAGCGAGGGAGAGGAGGTGGGCCCGTTGGGGGCGGAGCCGGAGGGCGGAAGCGGTGGCGACGGCGCGGACGAGGAGGGGAGGAGGAGGAGGGGAGGAGAGAGGCGGAGAAGAGCGAGGGCGGGAGAGGGAGCGAGATGGGAGGGGAGGATTTGGAGGAGGGGAGGCTGCGCCGAGGAGGACGGGGAGGTGAGGCGTCGAGGGGAGAAGCGGCGGGGGAGGAATTCGCTGGGGTTTGGCGCGATGAGGACTTGAAGGAGCTCGTGCCATGTCGATGGCGGCGAAGAGGCGCTGGGCTCTGCTGGCTCCATCGATGGCGACGGAGAAGAGACGAAACTGAGACTGAGACGAGACGGAGGCTTTTTACCGTCCAGTGCCTTCGCTTGGATTGGAATTCGATGGCGGCGTGAGGCAGAAATGGAGGGACTTGCTGCTGGTTGTGTACGCTAATAAAGTATCCACCACCATCATGCTAGGAAATCTTTCGAGTACAGAAGTCAACCAAGAAGGAGTAGATTTGGGGTCGTACTTTCTCTCTATTGTACGCGGCGGAGAAGGAGTTTTCAACGGCGTTTTCCAAGGGTTCGTTTGGATGGAATAATAATCTTATGATGGGTCTTTGTTCAGTGGATTTTTTATTTTTTTCGAATTTTATTACCAGACCAGACCCCAGGTCTTTCTTATTTTAAAATCGGTCCCCCGAGTCTTTCTTATCTGAAAACCAGTCCCCGAGTCTTTGTTCAAAGGGTTTTTATTCTTGGTTCAAAGGATTATTATTATCATTATTACCAGACCCCAAGTCTTTCTTATTTTAAAATCAGTCCCCCAAGTCGCTCTTATCTGAAAACCAGTCCCTGAGTCTTTGTTCAAAGGATTTTTATTCTTGGTTCAAAGGATTATTATTAGGGAAAAATCTCTTTTAACCCAAAGTTTTACGCCCAATTATTTAAAAACCCATCCACTTTACTAAATACCAATAGACCCACTGTATCTCATCTCACTTATTTTTAAACCCAACATGTATAATACACCCATTTTTTGTACTGTATTTACCCAACTGACTAAAAATTCCTAAACTACCCCATCCCCAAATATAACTCATCCCCTTTCCTCTCTAATACTTGAAAGCTCCTAGATCATCGATTTGGAGCGACGACGGCGGCTGCACGGGTTGTAGAGAAGGCGACGACGACTGACGGCGGTGAGCGATGACGGACGGCGGCTGCACGGATCTGAAAGCGGAGGACATTTGGAGCGACGACGGACGGCGGCTGCACGGGTCTGAAAGCAGGTAACACACGAATCTTCCCCTTTTCCTCTCTAATACTTGAAATTAAACCCCTAGATCATCGATTTTCATCGCAAGTTCCTCGTATCACTGAGTGATTTTATTTTTCGATTGAGGTTGTAGAGAAGGCGACGGAGAGAGTTAGGGCTTGGATTAATCGGTGTTGTCTGTAGCGAGAGATATTGGAGTTGGGAGAGATTGAAAGGTTTTCCTTGCAAGTGTGATTAACCTCTTTTTTTAAATTAATTTATGGAAATGGATGATTTCTTGACCTAATTATGTTGATGTTTGGTATAATTTAGGTCATCGTGGGACTGTGGATTGTTTCGTACATTGGAAGTTCGTTTAGTATCTTCACTCTTATTTACATCGGTGAGTTCTAATAATTTATCCATTGTTTGGCTGACCTAATTAAAGTTCCAAAAGAAAAACACTTTCTTTTGAAATTAAGCCCCTTGTTGTAGTTTTGATCACATGCAACTTGCACGTATAAATTATTGAAAGGGCCCGAAAGATAAGAATGTACTTATATCACAGTAATCTCTCGAACATCTAAGGTTTAACACCTATGATAGATTGGTGTTGAAATCATTATTTATAAAAGGATTCCAACCTGCCGTTGGGATATTCATAATTATATTGTATTTTTGAAATATTTGTCAATAGGTTGTCAAAGATGTTAAGCAGAAGTAAATCGAGAGATTCTTCCCAATCGAGGTCTAAGGCTACTAAGTAAGTAAATTTTAATTTATATGAAATTATTGTTATGGGATTCTTCCCAATCGAGGTCTAAGGCTACTAAGTAAGTAAATTTTAATTTATATGAAATTATTGTTATGTTAATAATTTCTTATGTTTTTACTTGTAAATGAAATTGAATCTGAAGATTTGGATCTCTAGATCCCTAGATACGTCTGATACATACGAATGATAAATAAGAGCATCAGGAGAAAACTTTAACATAACTAGTGTTCTGCTACAATAGTTGACAGCTTATAGCTTTCTTGTATAATTGATACTGTAGACTTCAATTCTCAGCAAATTTGTCATTCTTGCTTGGGTTAATTTGTTGTTTCATTACCTTTTCATGCTAAATATACCCTATAATACCAATTTCCAGTTAAGTCTGACCATGCATTACCTTCTTCTTTTCTTAATGCAGTTCTTAATGCTTTATCACTTTGCTTTACAATCTCTTAATTTTTGCATTTATAAGGGCTATTCGTTTTGATTGATATATTCTTCTTTTTGTAGGAAAAATATTGCAGAGTTAAGATTACCTTCAAATATTGGCGTATTTCGTGATTTGGTGAATAATCGTCTAAGGCCTTTGCTAAATAATAATCATTATGAAGCCCTCCGTCAAACCCCTTTTTTCCACTTCATTCATATACCGGCTATACCTAATGAACAAGTTGCAGTTGATTGCTTGCTTCATGCATTTAATCCAGAGCATAGCTCATTCAGGAATGGGGGAAAGGATATTGTGTTCAGTGTTCTAGATGTGTATGAAATAACCGGGTTGCCGAAGACTGGAAATAGGGTTGTAATGGATGGTCGAGCGCCTAATACTATATATACTGCACATGTGTATTGTAAAAAGACCCAAACAGAGAGGGAGAAGGAGAAGAAGGTCAGTAAGAGGAAGAAGAGGAAAGTCAACAAGAAGGATGAAAATAAAGATAAGAAGAAAGTGTGGGCCACACGCAAAAGGATGGCGGATTTGATTGTGGAGTTGGCAGACTCCGACCACATAGCATGTGTGAAATTACTTGTGGCTTTTATTATTGGATTTGTATTATGCCCTCAGCCCTCTAACTCATGTCCATTATGGGCATTTAGATATGCGGATAATTTACTTGCTCTTCGTTCTTATAATTGGGCTGGTGCTGTGTTTGATCTACTGTATAAGGAGATGAGTAAGGCAAAGTTGTCCATCACAAAGAGAGTCGTAGGAGAGAGGTCACGAGCCGGATACATGGGCGGGTTTGCCTTAGTATTGGTGGTGAGTTTTAATAAAATTATATAATTTTATTTGCATATGTTCTACTAGTTGTAACTAAATTTGTTTTTTTAGGTTTGGTTTTATGAACTAGTGGGGGAGCTCAAGTGTGAAATAAAAGAGGATTTCTTGCACCCCATTTTTATTGAGAGGAAGTCTCGATCATTACGGCGAAAAGCGATGATGAGGATAATTGAAAACCCAAAGTGTATTAGGAATTTCACTAGTCAACCCACCATATCATCCATTCCTAGTGCATCACGTCATCAACCGGTATGTACACTTCATATTCTCTATTGTTGTCTTGTTGCTATCAATTTATTATATCTTTCTCGAATGCTAACCCATTCATTGGTTGTATTTGTAGGCGATGACATTACTTCAAGTACGTGAGTTGCTTGCCAAAAATAGAGAGGAGTATGACGAGCTTATTGAGTTAGAGAAAAAGTTGATTAGCGCCAGTAATTGTGGCAATGAATCTGAAGATGAAACTGAAGGGGAAGAACACGAACAAGATGATGGGGAGGACGAGGAGGATGGTGATGATCCAAGTGATGGGGAGGATGGTGATGATCCAAATGATGAGGAGGATGGTGGCGATACAAATGATGGGGAGGATGATGATGACAGTGATACTAATGTCGGGGGGAATGTTGTTGAGGATGATGAGGATAATACAGGGGAACAAGGAGAACAAAGTCATGAAGAGATGGGTAAAGATGAAGAAATGAGTGGGAAAAAAGTGGTGGCTCTAAATACAAGAGGAAGGAAAAACAACCAGAGATGATTGCGGAAGAGCTCAGTGAAGATGATGACTTCTTACCTATATCTTTTTCAAGGACATCAGCAAGGGACATCAAAGATAGGACCCCATCAATTAAACGGGTCGTTAGAGATAGGAAACATGTACCCGCACGTGCAAGACGTTCACCTTATACACAGTTGCGAGGCCGAGGCCGTCATGAGAAGAAGAATGAAGTGATTAATGTTTCCCAGTTGCAAACGCCGGGGTGTGATGAAAAGAATGAAGTGATTAATATTTCCCAGTTACAAACACCGGAGAAGAGAAGGAATGTCAATAGCGGGACTGATTTTATCCCTAAGAAATGCGATTACCCGGCGAAGGGAAAGTTAAATGAGAGTGAGAGGAAAGTCCTTGATGAGTTTTGCAAGAAGAGAATGAACATGTATAATTTATCCCACACATGCGATTTTGCTTTATAAATTTCGTTTTATGTTGCGCTTCCTTTCATATTACATTTATTTAACTTGTGTATGTTTCATTTGTCATAGAGATGAATTTGTTTGGCAATCTGTTACCCGGTTAGATGTATATCATCTTCTTATTGGAAGCGCAATTTCCGATAGTGTAAGTTCCCAATGTTTAATAGTTTTGTGTGTATTTTCATATTTTAGTTGTGATCATTCTATTATGAATAATTTTCAGTTAGTCGATGGTATGATAGAGAGATTTAAGATGAAGATTGAAACAGAAGCATGTTCAAAACACATACACATCACAGGATCATTCTTTGCCGTGAGTATTAGGAAAATTTACTATCATTTAAATTATTTTTTGTTAAATATTATGGTCATGTTTTAACAGAGAGCGTTACTACAAGATAATCCCGGCCATTGGGCAAGACAACTCAAGGGTCGACAGCTTCCACGTGCACGCTTCGAAGAATGCGAGAAGATTATTTTTCCTATTCTTAGCAGTAGTCATTGGCATTTGTTGGAATTGATTAAGGCTGAGAAAATTTTTTATCACTATTCATAACTCACATACATTAAATATCTTAATGATGCCAAGATGTTCATGAACAATTTCTTAGCTTGCATAAAGGATGAATGGAAAATAGAAAATGTGGATGAGTATAGTATAGAAACCCGACAGGTTCCTCAACAGGATGGGTATGACTATAACTTAAAATGTATTACTGTGATTGATTTTCCCAACATATTATTATTTTATCATGT